GATAATAATGATGATACTACAATTACTGCTTTTACTGCTGCTGTCATTACTACTACTACTAATACAACTACTACTTCTACTGCTACTGCTACTACTATTATTACTACTACTACTACTATTACTACTATTAATACTACAACTACTACTATTACTACTACTATTACTACTACTACCACTACTGCTATTACTACTACTACCACTACTACTACCACTACTACTATTACTACTATAACAACAACAACAACAACAACAACAAGTATTTATTTATTTTTTTTATTTACTACTACTACTACTATCATTATTATCATTTTTATCATTATTATCATTGTTTTATTAGTAATACTTTAGCTATAATTATTACTGCCATTGTTTCATTATTAATATTATTAGCATTACTTTCCTTATTAATATTATCTCATTCTCTTTTATTGAGTTTACATACTTGCAATATTACTTGCATTATTATCTTATTCCAATCTATTGGAAATAAAATAAAAATAAAGTCAAAGACGGAGAATAAAAATGAACAAAATGTTATAACTTAAGAATCAAAGAGAACAAAGTAAAGAAAATAAAAGAAAGAAGAAAAAAAAGAGGTATAGTGTAACGGGGCGGAAAAATCTACGGTACCTGTACTTCGTATTTCACTACCTCTTCGCGTGAGTTTGAAAGAGCTATGTGAAGATTTTATCTCGGCTGATCAGATCTTACCTAGCTGTTTAATAGATTTATTATCTGGTATAATAATGTAATGTTTTGATCATCTGTCGAATTTATATAAATTCATCTTCGTTTGTTCAGCTAGCCAAGGGGGTATATAAACGACTAAATTAAATTCAAACACTTAAAAGAACGTTGTCTATCCCCTTGAAATAAATACTAATTTGATGATGCACACCATAAATCGGATAAAAAAGGAGCAACCATTTCTTACAATAAATCTTAAAACAAACTATTATCTACACATCGCGATTAGTTCATTTGTAGATACCAGTAACTTGCTGTAGGATAAAGTGTTAAAATGAAAGAAATGTTAAAATGATAAAGTTTCATTTTTCCCCTTAACATTTATAATAGTTTTATGATAATTAGTGCAACTGTTGTGGTCTGATTAAGGTCTGACTACTGGCATCAAACCAGCCTGATCGCATCCTGCACCCGATCGAGACGGCATCTTTGGATGTTCCCATCTCCCACGCTATTTGGCTGATGGAGGTCCAAGCTCTGCACAGGGTCTGATTTTTTTAAGCGATGGAGAGGAATTTGCCTCAATGCTCTAGTAGGCCTAGTAGGGGGAGGAGAAGATAGGAGGGGGGAAGCGGGGAAAAAAGGAAAAGTGATAGACTATTCCTGCTTGCAGCACGTTGATGGGACCTTCGTAGAGTGGGATGTTTCATAGCCGTGGAAAAAAAAAAGTTTCCACTGAAATACAGATAAGTCTTAAGGACGTTGTTTGCATATTAGGTTGCGTTACTACCCTTTTGTTTTTTTGCTTCTGTGAGTCTTTTTTATCCATTTGTCTTTTTCCTCAGATTGTAGATGTGTTTATTTTTGAGTATGCCGAGGACGCAGAGTATAGTGCAATCGCTTTTAATCCCTGGATCGCGACGCAGAGTTGGGCTACCAAGGATATGTGCACAATTCTGTTCCCAGTATAGCTATTCAAATTGTTATCAAAGTATCAATCCTGTGTATAGAATACCTAAGTCATTAACATCTAAGGCTAGGCAAATCATAGAGATATGGGCAATTCATTATATTTTGCAATCTGAATTATAAATAATAGAGTGTTAATGGTGTTAAGGTATCTGCGTCCGCATGATCAATATGGACAGGATTTTGAGTCGCAGCCAAAGAAAGTTAAGAACCACAGGTGTAGAGGGATGCAGCATGGCGAAATTCATAACTATGGTGAGGCAATATAGAACTATAGAATACGATGAAATTAGTTTATTTCGTAATCACTTATCAATTTAAAATCTAACGCGTTCAGCATGGGGAATTCTCGAAAAATAAACCTTGAGATTAATATTAATTTCTCTATCTGAAATATGCAGATACAAACTATCAATATATATGTTAATACAACAGATACATATATGTATTAGATTCCAATCCATCTCTAGAATGTAAATTTAAATACCACAATCTACTAAAACTATTTTGATTTGTTCTCATATTCTTGAGAAGTTTTCCTTGGAGATTCTCTGGATGTAGGACCATTAACCTTTACTTTTCACAACTGTTTCCAGTGTTAGCCGTCTCTTGGATCCAGTCGATGTATTCTGAAAAATACAACAGCGAAGTCTAGAAGGTGTCTTAAAACAAAAATTAAATTGACGAGATATCTGCATGAGGAATCGTTATTGACATAAGTCTACGTGAATAGAATATCTTATCTCACGTTCCTGTAGTATAGATCTACACTAATGATGATGATGATGATGAAGATTATGATGATGATGATGATGATGATTATGGTGATGTGGTGATGATGATTATGATGATGATGATGATGATAATAATAATAATAATAATAATAATATAATAACAATAGTAATAAAAATGTAATAATAACTTTCATACCAACAAAGCAAGGACAACAACAATAATACCAATAATAAAACATATGTATTTTCTATATTTCCAAAAAGCATACTCTACTCACTCCGAACATCAGTATAGACTCCGAACTTCCCCGGATCTGCGCAGCCGGAACCCCAGCTGACGATGCCGGCGAGCGAGTGGCTTCCGTCCGCGGCCTCCACCGTCAGGGGACCGCCGCTATCGCCCTGGGGGGGAGGGAGGAGGGTGGAAGGGAGTGGAGTGACGCTTGGTACTTATTGACGTGCTGTTTGAACTCATTTTGGTTATACTATCAATCAGGATGTTTATTTGTATCTCTTTTTCTGTCTATATCTGTATCTGTTTCTCCGTCTATATCTGTATCTATCTCTGTCTATTTATGTATATATATTTATTCATAGCCATATTTATATTTGTATCTGTATCTATCCATTTATTTACCTGTCTTCCTATCTTTTAATGTGTCTAGCTCTCTATCAGTGTATCGATCAATCCATTGATCTATCTATACAGTATATCTATCTATTTGTTAATACATCTACATATGTAGATTGTATCTCTATGGATTTATAAAAAAAAAAAGTTAATTCAGTTGTGGATCTGCATAGCTCTGTCGTGATCAGATATCCCGCACAAGTTTACAACGACGAGGCGAAGCAACAGAACCGCATAAGGCGAAGGAACACGTGCAGACGAAACAGCTGAGCAGGGCACCACGCCTAACTTGAATACTGCTTTACCTGTACAATATTTGTCTTAACCACCCAGGATTAAAGTACAAATAGCTGAGGAGTAGAAAAGGTAGCGGTTCACATAGATATTAACAGTTGTGAAGGTGAGGTAAACATATCGAAATTCTGTACGGAAAACCGTCCAAAAATTGTGACGTAGGCGGTAAACAATGACATCACATCAGCAGCGGTAATTTACGGATATCAATACTGTGAACTCTGCTGTGGAGTAAAGGAGCAATAGCAGGAAGGAACATATTGTAAAGACATTTTATTTGCATTCCGTAAGTGCCTACTCTTACAAAACAAAAAGAAAACAATACATAAGAAATACCCTTCAGATTCTTGTGCGAATAAGCCGTTTCGAGTCCTCCTGACAATACTGTTTCGAATCTCAGTGAAAAAATGGCTCCTTTTTTAACTAACTTCAACAATCTTCTTATTCATCTTTCTACTATCTCTATATTGCAAGATCAAGAAGTTATCTCGACTTCCTATTTTTCACTTTTTTATAATCATAAAATACAAAAATGGAAAAGACTGAGTGCCCTAGAAAATACATCCCCTATATATCAAAAAAAAAAAAAAAAAAAAAAAAAAAAAAAAAAGGCGGTAATTTCAGAAACGGAAATCTGTCTCCTTTCATGCTTTTGCGTACCCCCCCCCTCCCAACCCTCTCAGAATATCCCCCCCTACATTTTATCTCATTTTTTCCTGTATTTACTTTACTTTGGCTTCTTTCTCTTACTTACCTGGCAGGAATCCTTTCCTCCCTCTACCAGTCCAGCACATAACATGTTGGCAGTGATACTTCCGGGATAAGCTGCACTGCACTCGTCTGGTGTCCTTATTGGCACTGTGACCTCCATCGCGATCTCGGGCTGAGTATTGGCACCTGCGAGATAACGTCGTGCAGTTCGATTTCGAAATATAAAAATGGAATATATAATTGTTGTCCATATATATATATATACATATATATATATATATATATATATATATATATATATATATATATATATATATATATGTATGTGTGTGTGTGTGTGTGTGTGTGTGTGTGTGTAGTGTATGTATATACATATGCATACACATAAATAAATAAATATAGTACATGTATATATGTATACATGTGTATGTATGTATATTATATATGTATATTATATATATCTATGTGTGTGTATTTATACACACACACACACACTCACACACACACATATATGTACACACATAACGCCATAACACATATTCTTTTTACACACATGTATATATATATTTATATGTATCTATATATATACACACAGATATGTATGCATATACAAACACGCATATATAAATGTATAATGATGAACCTAAAACTGATAATAATACGAACAATATTAATATCAATGATAACGGCGGCAACGAAAATGATGATTATTGTGATACTGCTACTATTGTAATTACTTCTACTGACGCTACTAGAACTGCTACTGCTACTACAAAAACAAATAGTACTACTATTACTTATATTGCTCTTATCATCATTGTGTTTTTTTATCTTTATCCATCACTATTTTCTATTATTGCTTATAATGATGATTATCATTACAGTTATTATCATTCATGTTCTGTATGTTCATTTTCTTCTTCTATTTATCTATTCATTATTTTTTTGAGAGTAATAAAAGAGTAATATCGAGGGCAAGACATTCTAGTGAAATAAATAAGGTTAAAACAGAGAAACGTAAGTAATAAGTTTCAGATGAATAAGATATTTAAAGAATAAAATAAATAACAAATGAAATTACTCCAAGATCCGCGGTGAGTTGACAATTTCTCCCATTTCCTTGAATTAAACTTACAGGGTATTACGCTATGCTCAAAAAATATCAAGACAGAATCATAAAAACGTTCTTGAATTCACTAGTGATTCATATACTTGCCTCCTTCCTCTCCAAACTCGATGCTAACAAGAGCCAAGAAACGACATGCAAGGGGCATCGCCTCCCTGCTTTTAATCCACCACTTCCTTCCCTTTCAACACTCTACCTTCCCCCCCCTCCCGTCTTTTATTCACCTCTTTACTTTGTTTATTTCGTTTCTTCCGATTCCACACGGCATTCACTCGCTGACACTCGTGCCTATACCACGTTCGGCAGCTGCTCGCTTGTCTTCTGTCTGATGGCTGGGTTCCTCTCGGAGACAGGAGAGCAGAGGAAGAGGAGAGACGAAGGAGGAAGGGGAAGAAGGAGAAATGGAAGATTAGGAGATGAACGAGTTCCTCTCGGATGCAGGAGAGTAGAGACGCAGAAGAAGAACGAGAAATGGAAGACTAAGAGAAGAAAAGAAGAGACGAAGCGGGAAGAGAAAAGCGAACAAGAAATATAAGAGAAAAACAAGAAAAACGAAGAAGAGAACGCGAAAAGAAATGAAGAATGAGAACAGAAATACGAGAAGAAATTTAAGAATAAAACGAGAAGGAGAGGAAGAGGAGGAAGAGGAAAAGAAAGAAGAGGAGAAAAGAAGCGATATACAGGCAACATCTTGTCCAAGCAACAATATAACTCCTTATTCTTTTTTCTTTTGTCTTTTTCTTTGTTTTCTCCTGTATGCCTTAAAATAACCTTGCTGTGGTTTAAAGGCTCATTCCTATTAACTTAAAAAAAATGATTGTTTGTGTTTCGTGACCTATGCTCTTCACTGTTTCTACTAAGTACTAAGTTTTCATATTCTTTTTACTTACTGTTAATGTTCAACTACCATTACCACTACTACTACTACAACTACAACCACCATCACAGCTGTAACTACCACACCATCACTACTACTACCACAGTCACAGCCACCACCACACCTACCACTACTACTGTTACTACTACCACTAATAATGGCAGCAAAGAACTTTACACTTTATCTTATATATCTAATATCGATGGCTGCATCTTATAACGACTATAGCTTAAATCCATAACTATAGCCTCTAATGACTATATATTTTATTATTTTTATTATCTTATATTGATGACAATATCTTTAATCGATGACTATATCTTGTAATGACCACATCTTATAGTGATGACTTTATCTTATATCGATGACAATAAAGAACAATATCTTACCCGAAAACAGCAACCCCCAGCCCGCCGTGGTCGCGTTCTGGCCGGTGAAGTCAGCCGAAGCGGAAGGCAAACACACAGGCTTGATCCCAGTCGCGAAGTCTACTTTTTGGGACAGCTTCATGAGAGCGATGTCATTGTCAAGCTGTGGGGGAAAAAGAGAAAGGATAAGAAAGAGAAATAAAAAAGAGAAAGGAATAACAGTTAGAATGGATATGTATATATGTTTAGAGACACACACACACATTACACATATACATACATACATACATACATACATACATATATATATATATATATATATATATATATATATATATATATATATATATATATATATACACACAAACACATCATGTATTAGGAAGTACTATCCATTTACCAACTACGTATACAGAAGTAAAAAAAAAAAAAAGGAACAAACCTCCAGCTTATAAATCATATCATCCTTTCGACACAGCTTTCGAATCACCACGAACGACTCACAGTTTCGGAGCTGTAGCTTGGGTGGACGACAACTCTCTCGACAGACCTCCTGACGATGTTGGTCGGGCCGTTGTCCCAGTCCCACATGTTGAACAGCACGTCGTATCGACTGGTAGAACTGAGGGAGGGGAAGCATCGGTTAATCTTGGATCCAGTGGTGATGGTGAGGATAGTGGTCGTAATTAATAACGAATGACTGATAATAATGATAAAGTGGTAATTTTGGTAATAATAATGAAAATAATAGTAATAAGAATAATGGGGATAATGACAGTATTATCAATAAACGTAACCACATACCCTGATTAATTTCAGCAGTGATAACAATAATTAGAGTCATTATCATCACTCTCTCTATCTTCGACCTCAGCACTGATAATAATGAGAATCGTTATCTTCACCTCTCTTTTCATACGAAGTGCCATCAACTCACATGACGGCGCAATGGGCAGCCGTGACGATCCACTCGTCGTTGTATAAAGAGGCGCCGCAGAAGGGTCTGTCATTGGCACTCAGGGCATCAGATAGGCCAACGAGCCAAGGGTACTCGTTCACTTCGGTCTGCTCGCCGCCCACGATCCTGTTGCTTCGGTTGGGCATGCCGCACTCTGGTGGGCAGGGAAGGAGGGGTAAGTTGGACTGGGGAAGGGGAAGTGGCTGGGGGTAAATTAGAAGTGGGGTTAGAGAGAGGTGTGTGTAGCGGAAGAGGGAGGGGGGGGGCGATGGAGGGAGGGGTGAGAGGGGAAAGCAGGGAGAGAGTGATGGAGAGGGGAAAATAGAGAGAGAGTAATGGAGAGGGGAAAGCAGGGAGAGAGTGATGGAGAGGGGAAAGCAGGGAGAGAGTGATGGAGAGGGGAAAGCAGGGAGAGAGTAATGGAGAGGGGAAAGCAGGGAGAGAGTGATGGAGAGGGGAAAGCAGGGAGAGAGTGATGGAGAGGGGAAAGCAGGGAGAGAGTGATGGAGAGGGGAAAGCAGGGAGAGAGTGATGGAGAGGGGAAAGCAGGGAGAGAGTAATGGAGAGGGGAAAGCAGGGAGAGAGTGAATGGAGAGGGGAAAGCAGGGAGAGAGTGATGGAGAGGGGAAAGCAGGGAGAGAGTGATGGAGAGGGGAAAGCAGGGAGAGAGTAATGGAGAGGGGAAAGCAGGGAGAGAGTGATGGAGAGGGGAAAGCAGGGAGAGAGTATGGAGAGGGGAAAGCAGGGAGAGAGTGATGGAGAGGGGAAAGCAGGGAGAGAGTAATGGAGAGGGGAAAGCAGGGAGAGAGTGATGGAGAGGGGAAAGCAGGGAGAGAGTGATGGAGAGGGGAAAGCAGGGAGAGAGTAATGGAAGAGGGGAAAGCAGGGAGAGAGTGATAGAGAGGGGAAAGCAGGGAGAGGGGAAAGCAGGGAGAGAGTGATGGAGAGGGGAAAGCAGGGAGAGAGTGATGGAGAGGGGAAAGCAGGGAGAGAGTAATGGAGAGGGGAAAGCAGGGAGAGAGTGATGGAGAGGGGAAAGCAGGGAGAGAGTGATGGAGAGGGGAAAGCAGGGAGAGAGTGATGGAGAGGGGAAAGCAGGGAGAGAGTGATGGAGAGGGGAAAGCAGGGAGAGAGTGCTGGAGAGGGGAAAGCAGGGAGAGAGTAATGGAGAGGGGAAAGCAGGGAGAGAGTGATGGAGAGGGGAAAGCAGGGAGAGAGTAATGGAGAGGGGAAAGCAGGGAGAGAGTGATGGAGAGGGGAAAGCAGGGAGAGAGTGATGGAGAGGGGAAAGCAGGGAGAGAGTAATGGAAAGGGGAAAGCAGGGAGAGAGTGATGGAGAGGGGAAAGCAGGGAGAGAGTGATGGAGAGGGGAAAGCAGGGAGAGAGTGCTGGAGAGGGGAAAGCAGGGAGAGAGTGCTGGAGAGGGGAAAGCAGGGAGAGAGTGATGGAGAGGGGAAAGCAGGGAGAGAGTGATGGAGAGGGGAAAGCAGGGAGAGAGTGAATGGAGAGGGGAAAGCAGGGAGAGAGTGATGGAGAGGGGAAAGCAGGGAGAGAGTAATGGAGAGGGGAAAGCAGGGAGAGAGTAATGGAGAGGGGAAAGCAGGGAGAGAGTGATGGAGAGGGGAAAGCAGGGAGAGAGTGATGGAGAGGGGAAAGCAGGGAGAGAGTAATGGAGAGGGGAAAGCAGGGAGAGAGTATGGAGAGGGGAAAGCAGGGAGAGAGTGATGGAGAGGGGAAAGCAGGGAGAGAGTGCTGGAGAGGGGAAAGCAGGGAGAGAGTAATGGAAAGGGGAAAGCAGGGAGAGAGTAATGGAGAGGGGAAAGCAGGGAGAGAGTGATGGAGAGGGGAAAGCAGGGAGAGAGTGCTGGAGAGGGGAAAGCAGGGAGAGAGTGATGGAGAGGGAGATAAAAAGGGAAAAGAAAGGGGAAGTGAGATGGGGAGAGGTCAAAGAGGAAGTGAAGGGAGGAGGCAGGGTGAGAAGGGAGTGATTAGGGTGACTGAAAGAATTGGGAAGATAGAGAGGGGGTTGGGGTGCGTGTGGGTGTAGCATATGTTATGTATATGTATAAGTATGTATATACACATGTATGTTTGCTTTTACAGCGTACATGGTGATGAAACCAACACCATAACACCTGAAAAAAATAACTCTTTATCACTATACACACCCACGAGAAAATATCCTCATCCGAATTAAACCGAAAACGGCCTCAAAAAAGAGAGAGAAAAAAGAGAAAAAAACTCACGACAATCTCGGCCACTTGGAGTGTCAGAGGAAGTGTCAGTTGTGGATGTGGTTGTTTCTGGAGCTGACAGGGAGAAAAATAACATAGATACTGATTATATGAAAGTCCTACTTATGGTTGGTGTTCTTATGGCACTATTGGGGAAGTAAATGGAATTTTATGTTCTATTATAATGGATATGATGATACTGTATAAGAGCAAAGATAATGGAAATGATGATGGTAATAGTACTAATATTACTACTAATAATGATAACACTGATGAGGATGATAATGATGATGATCACAGTAATAATAATAACAGAAGAAAAAGAAGAAATAAAAAGAGAGAAAAAAGAGAAAAAAAACTCACGACAATCTCGGCCACTTGGAGTGTCAGAGGAAGTGTCAGTTGTGGATGTGGTTGTTTCTGGAGCTGACAGGGAGAAAAATAACATAGATACTGATTATATGAAAGTCCTACTTATGCCTCAGGTTGGTGTTCTTATGGCACTATTGGGGAAGTAAATGGAATTTTATGTTCTATTATAATAGATATGATGATACTGTATAAGAGCAAAGATAATGGAAATGATGATGGTAATAGTACTAATATTACTACTAATAATGATAACACTGATGAGGTTGATAATGATGATGATCACAGTAATAATAATAACAGAAGAAAAAGAAGAAATAAAAAGAGAGGAAAAAAAACAAGAAAACAAGAACGAAAAAGGAGAAAACGAAAAAAACAAACAAACATGAAAAACGAAAAACAAGAAAACGAAAAAAACGAGCCCGAAAAGGAAGAAGAGAAGAGATCCCAGACGAAGCCCTGGCCCTCACGCACATCCCGAGGCGGTGACGGAGCAGTGGAAGCCCTGTCGCTGGCCCCAGAAGTCGGCGAAGAAGAGGAAGGTCACTCGGTTCTGGCACGGCTCGAGGTCGCCGCTGGGCCGCCGGCTCCCGCAGTAGCTGGCGGAAGAGCGGCAGGAGGTTGCTTTATGTGTATATATGGATATGTATGTATGTATGTATGTGTATATATGTATTTATATATATCTATTATATCTCTATCTATATACATACATACATACACACACAAACCCTATCAGTTTTGTTTGTGTAAGATTTCGGACATGTTTCACGAGGTATTAGCATCAGATGGCAACGTGTCGGGACGAATGAATTCGAAATCGATGTCAACTAAATAAAAACAAAAACAAATGGCGGTGGGTTGAATAATAATCATCCAAGTTATAAAGTTAATAATTACAATGACAAATGACAGATAAGTTATTGACAATATCCAAGCGAGTAATCTGGAACTGTACGTGGAACTTCGTTTTCACAAATGAGTGGTCAAAATAAATTGAGGATACTCCAGTTTACTAAACGAGTCCCTATTCGAATAAATACGCTATTAATGATCTTATTAACCCTAAGGAACATTGACGACATCACTGATTTCTTTATGTACAAGCAGGCGTGAGGCGGGTAATGGTAAACGGAAAATTTAAGTTACATCGAAAGAAGTAATTTCCCTGAACTGAAATTATCGGTGCAAACAAGATTATTGAGCTATAAAAAAGAAAGAGAAGAGAAGAAAACAAGAGAGAAAAAGGTTCATTTATAAAAAAAAGAAAAGAAATAGAAATAAAACCTCACCAACATTACGAAACCAAATCAAATCTAATGGAAAGTTGAAAAAGTTAGAAGGAATTCTGATTTAAACATCCCCATGTGTAAATTAACGAGGATAAACCTAAAGTCTAAAATAAAAACGTTATTAATGAAGCAATTAATTGATTTTTTGAGAAATAACAAACAAATAATTCAAGATAATCTAGCACATCATCAAAGAAACTGCAAAATAGATAAAATAATAATGATCAAGATAAAGTTAATAATAACGATGATAAATAAAATAAATAAAACAAGTCAAAACTAACCAGTTGCATATCTTAAGTCGGCAAATTTCCAACTTCCTCTATCAATGGGCAAGTCACGGGATAATGAATTAAATAATGGGTTATAAGAGAACGCCATTTTGTTTTCTCGGAAAGCCATGGCAGTGCAGAATATTCCGACAGGTTTGCCATCTTTAAATAATCAAAGAATTTGATTTCCGAATTCATTCAAACATATGTATATACATATATATATATTTTTTTCTTTCTTAACTGCGTTTATTTCCACTGCAGGACATAGGCCTCTCTCAATTCACTATTGAGAGGTTATTTGGCAGTGCCACCCTTGCCTGATTGGATGCCCTTCCTAATCAACCGCGATTCGGCGCGCTAACACTTATGCTACGGCGGCGACTTCCCCTACGACTGCGTTTGGCTTCTCAAGGCGATATGTCGTCTTCTTGCCGTGAGATCAGGCTCAAGTCAGCAGTCGAAGCATAGGCATTTTTACGACTGCCGCGACGAGGTATTGAACTCGGGACCACGAGTGTCGGAATCCAGTGCTCTAACCACTGGACATATCGCGACAGTCACATACATACATACACACACACACACACATATATATATATATATATATATATATATATATATATATATATATATACATATACATATATATATATATATATATATATATATATATATATATATATATATATATATATATGTGTGTGTGTGTGTGTGTAAAAATACAATATATATATATATACAATATATATGTGTCTGTATGTAAGTAGACGGCTCTTTTCAACGAACGGCCACCCGAGGGCCACTCACCTCCTGGCCCTGCAGTTGTCAGCAATGATCAGCCAGTCCCGCCAGCACCACCAGCTGGCCTGGATGTCCACCACGTCGCAGCTGACCGTCAGGGTGAGGTCGTCGGAAGTTCCCTGCGGACGAGGATGTTCCTAAACTCTGATGAACGGAGCTGGCATGGAGGATGTT